TATCTAAAGCTGCAAAGAAATACTGTCTCCATATGGACTCTAGTCAACATTATTACGCTTTAAAATCTAATCTTTTTTTAAATTGATAATAAAGGCAAACACATTATTACCCTGATTAAATGGTCGCAATCAAATCCTAACTTAGTTTCTAGTGGAATGAGGGAGGACTGTGTGTCCATGAGAACTGCTCTGCTTCTTGGTCTCTGTGGGTCACCACTCCCCACAGGCTGTGTGCACAGGGTCCCACCAGGACGGCAGGAGGCCCCATGCTCTTGTTCCTCTCCATCGGAGTCACAGCAGGCTAGAGAGGTTTTGAAAAGTCATCCTGGCTAGGAGTCCAAGTACCGTAAAAGATTTAGGGGGAAATGAAGCCTGTACATGTATGAAAAAATAAAATGCTGCTTTCAAAATGTGTACTTAGAATCAAGGTTTTTAAGAACAGAGCTAGTTCATGAAGCAAGCTATGGCTTTGGGACCGACTGACCCCAGCACTTCTCCCACATTGCCTTTCTCTTCCGACCTGCACCAAACCGAAGGGGCCCGGGAGAGGAGACAGACCTTCTTTGGGAGAGAAGTTTAGGAACTGATCCACTTCGTGAGGCTCCAGCTTAATCTTAGGGATGACTGTCTGGCACGAGGAATCAACCTAAAGGAAGAATTTCAAACACAGTTTTTAAAAAAACAGTAACAACCTCAATGAAACACCCAAGGGAGCTATTTGTCATCTGTGTCTTTCTCTGAGGGGCAGCCCCGCATCGCCGGAGCCGGCTGAGGCCCAGCTGAACACAGGCGACTTTGCCAGGGAGCTGGTTTAGCCTTAACCCCCCTCTCACTGCCAAACCTGGCATTCCAGCAGATGGAACCCGCAGAATCTTCAAATTAAAAGCCCAGGGCTCACTTACTAGTCCTTTTTCTACTGTTTTTATGGGAATAGAAATGCCTCGTATCACAAAATAGTCAGAAATTTTTAACGAGCCACAGGCCTGCACCAGTTCGTGCAGAGTAAGCACTGGGTGAACCACCCTCATTCATTCTCTCCAGGCTGCCTGATGACTGGCGATATCTACCCATGAACTATTTGGTAGGAAAAAGAGAAAAGGTATCTGGTTCATGCACAGGGAGCAAGGCCATGACCCTGACCTTTCTAGCTACTTAAAACCAACTCCTCTATAGCCAGGAGCCCCATCCAGTGAAGAGACTCAGGTAGCTACTGAGCAAGTTATGATTCTGGTCTACTGGCAGACACTGGAAATACCCAGAGAGAAGGTGAAATTCTACCTGCTGTCGGCATGGAATTGAGCAAGGAAGAAATTCCCAATTTCTTATGTTTTCCATGGGCAACACAATAAGAATTGGTAGGTGTGTGATCCAAGAATTGAGCCATTGCAACTCAGCATTGCAGTAGGAAAGTAAAATATAGCACAGGCACTAGCATTCCCGATTGCCGTGGCTCTGTAAGCCATGAATCGCCCCATCATCTTAACCAGGACCTTTCCACTGCCTTAAAAATCAATACATGGAGGATTTCCTTTATTTACCATGGATATCCAGCTGTTGGTTTATTTTGTAATAGCAATCACAGAAAAAATAAATCATACTTGCTACCAATTTTTCTGGACAATGCCTTTAAAGGAAATTATATAATCAATGCTGACACCAAATCAACATATCCTTGATACATACATACATAGTTAGCTCTCCTTAGACATATTCAGCCACTAGCTCCAAACAGATGAAATGCCTTATTAGAGAATGAGAAGCTAGGTCTTTTGATCTCATTTGTTTATATGGAAGACAATTGAGAGTACCCCAGTATTCATTTCCAGAGGAGGTTCCTCCTTTTCAAACGGGGTGGAGATGGCTGTGATGGTCAGAGTGACAGAGGGAACAAGTCCTGGGGGTGACTCCTCCGTAATCGGCTCGGTCTTGATGGTGGTTGAAGGAAATTCGGTAGACAGGTACCATTTCTCATTCTCCACTTCATCTGTGGGAAAAAGACAAGCACACCTGTGAACTGGCTCCGGGCATCAGGCATAAGTAAAACAAAGGACCACTCTCATCTTTCTCCTCAAAAAAAAAAAAAAAGAAAAAAAAAAGGCTCCAACAAAGAATGATTGAGAGTAGAATAAAAGGAAATATAATGAGGGTGTGAGACATGGATAGAAGAACCAATGGCAAAGTAAGAAACCATACTTGCATTCATGTGAGCGTCATTCGCTAAGGAAACTCTAGGAGGGTCCATGAAAAAGAAAGAACCTTGGCTTCCTGTACAGACAGGAAGGAAGCTGGGAGGATAGGAAAGAGAATAGGAGGGAGAATTGCAATGTGTCATGTTTTATACTTTTTGGTTTTCAAACCAAGTTAATGTGTTATCTATTTAAAAATAAACAAATAAGCACATTTAAAAATAATAATAAAAAGAGACAAGTGGTTGGCCACCAGGGTCTCAGGAGAGAGGACTGCAGACAATGGTTAGGAGGTATCTCTAGCCTTCTCCCAATGGACAGTTATTTGTTTTCTTCTTTTTTTTTTCTTCTCACTCTCAGTCGTTTGTTTTCCCACAACCCCACTTATGCTTTAAACCAGACCTAGACGTCCAGAACTTTACTAGCCCTCTGGGAAACCAGAGTTAGTCACCAATGCCTGGCCCTTGCCGAAACGGACTACATACGCATCCAGACAAAAGGGTTGAGTCTTGGCGAGTCTTGAGTCTTGGTTTGCTACTGGCTTTCGTGATCATGACAAGGCCTGGAGGTAGCAACAAAGCAACACAACAGAGCAGACAGAAGCTCCTCTACCACTTAACCCACACTTTCCCAGGACCCCACACAGCACCGTATTTCAGACATACCGCCTCAGCACAGCCCTGGAAGAGCAGGAAGGAGAGCAGGAAAGGAAAGGAGGAGATTGCAAACAGGCACAGAACAAGAAAAAACAAGTGAGGGATTCTCCAGAATCAGCATTCCTTACCTAATCCCAGTTTTACTAAAATGAGGAGAAAATAAACAGAGATAGGCTCCCAGGCTTCATGAAGATATTTAAACACTCACACAACATGTTGGTGAGTCATGACTGTTCAGGGAAGCAGTAATTCGCATTATGAAATGATTTTACACTCAAGAACTGGACTCAAGTTTTCTCATGAAAAAGCACAAGGAAATCACCCACTACTGCCAGGGGTGGGAAGCGCGGGCACCGAAGCTAAAAACTAAAGTTTACAAATAATAAATGGTATTTCATAAGCAACTTCCTTCCAACACAGGAAACAGTGAGATTCCCATTCACAAAGGAAAATGATCTGCCCCCTAAAGCCAAATTATAATGGACTTAATTATCCCAGCCCCAATTTGGTTCCTGAAGTAAAACGAAGACGGGCAAGGAGATGTTTTGCTTTCAGGGCTAGTTCTAGAATGCTGCTCAGTATGGTGGAGTGATGGAGAGTTTCCATCTTTCTGGGGTGAGCGCCACATCCTGGCAGAGGGGGAGGGGAGGGGAGAGGAGGGAACAAAGGGCCTTTGATGGCAGCCTGAGGAGGGAGACCACACTGTACTTGACACAGATTTCTGCTGGCCAGATGGGCGCCCAGCTCAGCTCAGAGAAGCAGCTGCATGAGGAGCCAAGAGAAGACTCCAATGCCTCTCCCAAAAGGAGCTTAGGAAGGAGAAGACTGTCACCTGCAAGAAAGAGACAGTGAAGACAGATGTGGGGGAGGGTGGGAGAGACGGAGAGAGAGCAGAGATCACACGTTCTCCATTCAGCAATGGCATGTGGATGTCTCCTCTGAGCAATATTTAGCTGAAAGAGACAGGATGATGAAATATATAGCCTCCGTGTTTATTAAAATTAACGGTCAGGTGACATCCCTGAGAAAAAGGCCTCAGGCAATTACCAGGAAATTGTATGGCAAGGCCAGATCCCCTGGCCATGAAGTTATGATGACGGTGATAAACCTTAAGGCACAAGTCAAACAAACGAAAAGGCAAAAAATAAACACAAAAAGCAAATACAAAGTTATGACAAAATGAAGACAGGTAATGAAATTGGTTCCTCCAATCTCACTAAGCCATTCTCAAAGGGCACACATTTATAAAATAGGTCAAGATAGTTTACATTCTCAATGTTCAGTGTCCTGTTCCCCTGTTTTAAAAGAAATTTATCCATATAAAGTCATTGCTCTATCGGAGACAGGACTGAAGGACAAATCATGATACTTGAATTATAAAACAAAACTTTCTCAAACACAACTGAACTCTCTCTCCAGGGAGAAGCCGAGGAAGCTGCCTCTCCTCCCCTGAGCTTTTTAAAGGACAAACAGGTGGCATTGCCTTCATGCCTCCACTCCGATAGAGTAATTTGGGCCTCTACTTGAAAGATACTTTTTGAGTTAGAAGTTTATGACCATCAAGTGCAAATATATCATTTTCCAGGTGAGGAAACTGACATGCAAGCACAGTGCAAATTATGCGGGACCCAGATCTCTGCACACCCAACCAATATTCTTGCCATTAAGGAAACAGCTAAACATGCAGACAAATATTTGTGCACAAATTGGCTCATGACAGCATTATTTTTAATCACAAATCACTGAAAATAACCAAAACATTGAAGAGCAAGGGCAAGGTTAACGAATTATGGCGTACCCATACAATAGACTATTTATATATCCAATAACATTACATATATCAAACCTTTTTAATAACACGGCAAAGATTTATGATAAAATATTAAGAAACAAACCTGGATATTAATTTGTATACTATTAATGAAGAAAGTAATAGAAAAAAAGACTAAAGGAAATATGCCGAAAGCATATCTCTGGAGAATAATTCAGAACACATATGACATTTTTGTCTTTAAATTTTATGCTCTTTCTAAATTGCCTGTACTGAGTATACATTGTATGTGGATGCTCACACATGGGGATGGCCTGCTTCTTCCTGCACTACTTTATGCCTTAGGATGGTAATTATTAGATAGAAGCTCCAGTGGCTCAAGGTCCATTCAGCATCCTTTGAATTAACAAGAGTCAATGAGTACCTTAATATATATGGAATAAATTGCAATACTGGCTCCAGTTCTTCAGTCCTCCAGCTATTCGTGTCCTTTGCCATGTATTTTGTAGTACCCTCCTACTGTGGACTAGTACCCATCTTGGGACTGGCCATGCAATTTGATTTGGCCAATGGGATGTTAGCTTCCTAACACAAGTGGAGTCTTAAAATGCATTTACAGCCCTCGCCAATATGTCTCAGTGGATAGAGTATCAGCCCACCCGCCAAAGGGTCATTCCTGGTCAACAGGCTGTACCTGGGTTGCAAGTTCGATCCCCGGTCCCATTGGGGCATGTGCAGAAGGCAACCAATTGATGTGTCTCTCTCACATTGATGGTTTCCCTCTCTCTCTCCCTCGCTCCCCTTCCCTCCCTTTCTCCCACTCTCTCCAAAAATCAATGGAAAAAATATCCTCAGATAAGGATTAACAACAACAACAAAATAACAACAAATGCATTTGCACAGCTGGAGTTACACACTTGTACTTTTGCCATCATATGAGAAGGATGTGTCAGAACAATCTATTGATCCCAGGAGGATGACAGACACACAAAAGAGAGTTACCCCCAAATAAGCCTGGCTAAAATTAGCCAACTCTCAGCTGGCGTTAGACATGTGAGTGCATCCAGCAAAATCACTCAGCTGGCCCTCCCCTTTAGCCCCCACCAAATCAGCCAGCCTCCAGCCAAGGCTCAGACATGTGAGCTGTAATAATAAATGATTGTCGTTAAAGGTAATAAGTTTTGCATATTTTATTATGAAGTAACATAGCTGGCTGATAGAATATAATTGAATATATATTCAAGAAATCAAATCATTTCATCAGAACCTATTGCAACCAAATAACTATACCTCATTTCCATAATAATTCCTCTAAACCATCAATTGTGAACCATATCAACTCATATTTTTCGACGGACTCATTAGGCCTATCAGTTATGTCACAGAATAAATGAGAAGAAAAATCAGCCAGTAAAAAACCTGGTGAGAACAAACTTTTTGAAAATTAAATAAGTATGCCTCATCTGAATCCCTCAGCATTCCAGTGGCAGTTGGAATTGGAGAAAAGGGCTTTCATTCTGAACTACTGGGTGTTGGCTTGTACTCTGTCCCTCAGTGGAAATAAATATCAAATCATAGAAAACAACATGACAAATGTAACCTATGAGGTATGAGGTTAACAAAGGATAGAGTAAAAGGGAATGAGTAGAACATGTATTATAAGTTTCCACCCGACCTTATTTTCATATTTTTATTTTATTGGCAAAAAAGATCAGCAAGACCACCATGGCTTAGAACTGAAATTATCCTTAGACATTTGGGTTATTGGCTAAACTACAAAAGCAAGTGTCAACACATATGCTACACCCTCTAATTTCTAAAGCTTGAAGCTCAGATATTGAGTTAAAAATGTTTCCTCTAAATTGTGTTTACACGCCTTTTAAGTTTCATCGCAGAAGGAGAATATCACCCAATAAGGTCAGGAGTGCACACAGTGGGGAGTAAGAAGAAGCCCTGCCTGTCTTCTGATTTCATTTAAACAGCTTCCTGTCAGAGGTCAGACTCAGCTGGCACATTTTCTCAGCATCACCACGCAGCTATCAGCAAGAAAATAAAAACAAGCCACTGTCACATGATGATGAGCAAGTCCTCCACAACCAAGGACAAAATGGAGCAGCGTGAGCCATGGGGGTGGACGCCAGGGGCATTCACACAGCAGGGTGAGTAGAGGAGTTGAAGAAGACGTGAAATCTAAGCCAATGTGGAGGCAACACCAAAATGCAGGTCCTCAATCATTTCCATGTGTTCTGCATAAATAATTGCACTGGATAGATACTGATTCCTGGGAAGAGGGAAAGAAAAGATGCAACTCTAAATTAGGAGCACATGGTATATGTATAAATGTTATACTATATATGTATGTTATTATGTG